GTGGTGATTAAGGTAGATGTGTGGGAAAGTCCAAGTACAATAGATGCAGTAAAAAAAAAAAGTACATGAGATACCATAAAAATTACAGAAAGGTTTCACAGAAGCCCAGGAAGGAGTTACTTACTCTGTGTCAGGAGCTAAGCAAGGCTTCTGGGACAATCTGAGCATAGTTTTAAAGATGAAGAAGAGTTGGCCATGTACTAAGACTAAGAGGAAGGAGAGCATCCAAAGCAAAAACAAGGCAATTAAAGAGCAAGACTATTCACAGGACAACAAAGTGCAGTGTAAGGGGTTGATTAAGGTAGGCTGTGGCTGCATTCTAAGTATATTAGGTCTTCAAGGTTAACTTTTATCCTTATAAGTTATTGAGAAAGTGACAGGTTCTCAAAAATAGAAACAGCACAGTAATACTTCTGATTTGGGGGGCTGCCATGGCATAGCAGCAGAGCTTACACCTGCAGTGCCAGCATCCCATAGGAGCACTGGTTTGTGGCCCAGCAACTCCACTTCTGATCCAGCTCCCTGCTAATGGCCTGGGAATGATCCAAATCTTTGCACTCCTGTACCTACATGGGAGACCTGAAAGAAGTTTCTGGCTTTCGACCAGCCCAGCAGATGGAAGATCTATGTCTCTCCTCTCTAACTCTGCCTTTCAGATAAAAATAAATACTCAAAATTAAGATAATTGAGACTTCAGCAATTCTTCATCCCATAAGCCAAACAGGACCCAAAAGAAAGAAAACTGGAGCCAGATAAAGAAGAATCTACAATATTTGATCAGCAACTGGACCTGGGAAGAAAGAACGCAAAGAAAGAAGAAAAAAGACTTTTAGCCAACAAAAGAGTGGTCACACCAAAGACTAACAAAAAGTTAACTCATGTGAAAAGTCAGGGAAATACAAGCAGTTTAGTATTAGACAGACTGAAAACTCTGTGTGCACACATGGGATTAGGGACTGGCCAGTTCAAAATGACGAGGTGGGGATGAGGTAAAGAAGTCAGGAACAAAGAACCAAGACGTGCTCAAATAAAGGGTCAAAGTGAGAAACTGGGTCCCTATTTCAAGTCATATTTATGGATTAAAGATGACAAAAAAAAAAAAGGCAACATGACAGAGGAGGAAAAAAAGCACACCACAGAAAAAGAACGGTAGTTTCATCGCTGTAACATGTTACACCAAGGATTTGAGGACTAAGAAAAAAACAATATATCTGCTGATTAAGGAATCACTCACCATTTAGGATACTTTTGGTAAAGCTGAAGACAAGAAAGGAATGAAAGTCAAATTATGTGAAGAGACAATAAAGAGGAAAAAACCCCCTAAATGTCATAAACAAGGGAACGGATTAGGAAAAAAAGAGTGTATATTAAATACTTTCACATATGAAAGCACTAAAGAAGGCAGGCTGGAAAAATGTAGACGCACTTCATTACAGAAGAAATGGGACTTGGGATGGTGGGCAAAAGGAATGTTATCTGTAATATCTCTATGAAAGCAAATACAACTGTTAATGGTTTTTAATTCTCCAATTGTTGGTCTGTAACTGTCAAAATGAGTTTTTAATATGACTAAGACAAAGATGTCACAGAGAATCTGAAACTAATAAACAAAGTGAAACTGCTTTAATGGAAATGAAGAAAAAAATATCAGATACCGCATGGTATTATCAGAACGTACTTTCCTTCCTCTCCAAAGGTATATAATTGTCTGTAACTAACATTCTTACGGATTGCCGTTGTTGGAAGCGGGCAGGCACACAGGTCTCTCTGCTCTCCCATCTAATTGTTCTAGACACTCTATGGTTACATTCTTTACCTAGTCCTCCCTAGGTACAAATAAGTGATGCAAAACAAACTCAACAAACTCCCAAGTATTTACTGTGAGGTAGAGCAATAGTCAGGTTTCTGGAAGATTGTTTCAGCAGTGGAGGGCTTCAAACCTGAGGTCCATTCCTGCAGTTTGCTACAAAATTCTTTGTATTTTTCTCTATATGTTTAATTCTAGCAAAGTAGGAGGCAAGAGAAGCGCGTAACACATAAGAGATTCCTTGCTAAAGAAGTACAGCAATGAAAGAAAGAGACGTTGATCAACATTCAAAAGGCCTGATATAGAGTTTGGGTATTTGTAAGTGGTTATAATTTTCAGCCAATGATGTTTGTGTTTCCAAATCATTCATAATACTAAAAAATAAACAAAAAAACCACTCTCCCTTCCTACTAACTCCTATTACTCTCAAACAGCTGTTAACTACAGTAACTTAAACAAGATTTAAATATTGAACTTACTTAAAACAATGATTGTTTCTAACAAATGAAAAGCTAAAAAAAATACATACACTCATTTACTGGTGTATTCTTTGACCTACTATAAATACAGTAGGAATCAAATTTATCAAGATTGATAACCAAACTGAAGTTAGTTATTTGCAAAGGATAAAGTAAATTAATTCCAGTTGCTAATAAGTTGCTGACAGTTTGGTTTACTGTGACAGTTTATAGAATATAGACATCACTGAAATTTAAACTACAGAAGGGCATTTTCCTAAATAGCAGTGGCCTAGATTGGCACTGAGTATATGTGGGAACTCAGTATAAATAAATCCACAAATGTTTAATAATTTAAAAAAATATGTAACCTTCAAAAAAAATTGAAAAATTAAAAAAAATAAAAAACATGTAACTTTCATCCTAGAAGCAATACCATATCATGCATATTTCTTCCATCTTTTAACAGTATCAAGCTTATTCCACTTTACAAAGAAAAAACTTGGCACTGAAAAAAACTACAAAACTACACTTGGACCTATCGGAGTTAAATTTTGTTCCACAGAATAAGTGGAGGTGAAATTAATTTCACGAGAAGAACTCTATATTTTACTAGTCTTATGTATTGTAGTCTGCTGGATCTCTTGATATTTCTCAAATGAACAAAATAATCTTTGTGTTCAATTTCTATTCAGGCCCCGTCTAAATTAGGATGGTTGTAAATATGAAGAGGACAGAAGAAAAATGCCACCCTGGTTACACCAGTTCAAGTACCTGCTGTCTTGCTAACATTATCAATAGTGTCTTAGGAAGATGCATGTTCTTGAGCAAGCTCCATGGGGGTAGTAGGCTAAGTCTCTGCCTGTGGCACTGGCATCCCATATGACCACAGGTTTGAGTTCCAGCTGCTCCACTTCTGCTCCAGCACCCTGCTGATGGCTGGGAAAAGCAGCAAATGATGGCCCAAGTCCTTGGACCCCTGCACCAAAACAGGATACCCAAAAAGTTCCTTGGCTCCTAGCTTCAGTTAGTGTGGCCATTCAGGGAGTGAAATAGCAGATGGAGGATATCCCTGTTTCTCCTCTCTGATAACTCTGCCTCCCAAATAAAAATAAGACCTTTAAAAACAAAAACAAAGATGCTGACACAATCCTGTGAGGTTGGGTGTTTTCCATTTTATAAATGAAGATATAAACAGCCTCTGAAGTTAAGTTGAAAGTCACACAACTAATGAGTAGCGTGATGAGATTTTTAAGATTTCCTACTCTGAAGTCCAAGCTATTACTACTAACCATACACCCTCTCATGTTTGGGGCAGTTGCCCTCAGTTGTACCAGCAACACTCAGTAGGTTTTTGTAGATGCATCGATGTCCAGTCCCTCTCCTACAGAAATTGTGATCTCATTAATCTTGGGCAGGGTCTAACCACCTATATATATTTTTGAAAATGCTTCCCCAGCAATGCTAACATGAAGCTGGGTTGGAAGCAACTGATTTAGACAACGCAAGTCCTGGTGCCATTTCAGGAATCTACCTTGAGGTATGTTAAGGAGGTACGAAGATGTGAATAAGCCAGTGCTTCCGCAAATGGCAGCCACAATTTCCAGGTTTTCTGTTGAGAAGTCTTAAATGCGTCTCCAGCACTCCTTGGCTTCTTCTCACTTTTATGAAAGTCTCCAAAGGATATGTTTGAGAAGCCAGGTTAACTTTTGGACATAAGATCTTTCTGAAGACTCACTACATGAAAGCCAAAGCAGGAGACTTTCACAGGGAAAAAAAAAATTAACTACAAAATGCCCCGCTGCCCTAGAACAGGATTCTAACTAAACTCTAATTGGAACTGGCAGGGGCAGGAAGTCAAGGGCTTACCACCTGCTTAACAGGGAAGCAAATGACGTTAACTGAGAGTTGTAGGCAGTCACAAATATCACGAATTAGTTTGTGTGAGTGACTAGGACAACGAAGTGAAGACTTGACCTGGGGAAAAGGGCGATTTGGGTGACTCCAGAAAACTCATCATAGAACCCAAGCCCCAGAATTTGGACAGCAGAGGGCGGTGCAGTCGACCTCACAAAAGGAGTCAGGACTGGAGGCCTCCCGGAACCGGCGAAGGGCCCCCAGGAGGGGCTGTAACTTCCTCAGTGCAATCAAGGATCAGAAAAGTACAGCAAGTGCTCGGTGTCGACTCTGGTGGCCGCTTTCCATAACCTCTCCTCTGGTCTGACCGTTCAGGCTCCCTTGCGGATACTCTTGACCTTACAGCTTTGGGGTGGGGATGGGGAGGAATGAAACCAACCTATCAGGCTTTTCAAAAGAATGTTTATCCTTGGCTTTCTTTTGGGGTGGTGGGGAGATATGCGGGGAGCGGAGAGGGAAGGTTTAATCTGGTGCTTCCTGCCGGTATAGCGTTGACATTTTTATAATATAGTGCAAGTGTTGGGGGAGGGAGAAGAGGACAGGATCACAAACAGAAAAAAAGAAACTAACGCTAGGGGTCAATTCTAACGCTTCAAAACCGTGTGTCCCAGCACAACCACACGCCGCTCTTCAGCTAAGTTTCACTCTCGGGTCTACGACCCTGGCCGCCCGCCCTCCCCATAGCTCCCCAATACAGACTCCAAACTTCCTGCCCCTGGTTGTAGAACTCCTGTCCAGCACGCGGGACCCGGCTCCGGCAAGGGCCAGGGCGAAGGTCGGCGGCTCCCGCTCTCCCCCGCCCCCAGAGCAGCCAGTACCTGTCCAGCATCTGCTGTAGCGCTTGGTCCGGCATCTTCCGCGCAGCCGGCGGCCCTCGGCCCTCCCCGGTGGACCCGTCAGGGCCAGGCCCAGGGACAATAGCACTGAGAGGCGGAGGAGTAGGCCTCAATCCGGCGGTAGCCGCGAACCCGCCACCAAACCTCCTGGGGCGGCTCCGCGAGCCCGGCGGCGGCTGTGCGCGGCCAGCGGGCGTCCGGAGGAGGCGGCGGGGAACGAGGAGGAGGAGGAGCCTGGGGCTGGGAGGCGGCGATCGCGGCCCGGGTTCCTGCCCGTCGGCCCAGGGTTCCGGTCCATGGACCGCGGGGGCCGAGTTGCTGTCGGCGGAGGAGCTACCTCTGTGAGGTAAGAGTCGCCGCCTCCGTGTGCGCCGGGGTCACGACGCAGGGCGGCCCAGAGCAGCCTGGGAGATGTAGTCCTCGGATCATCCCCCCACCCCCCGTTAGAGGCTGCACAGCCCGCCCCGACCACCGCCGCGCCCGCCGCAGCCCGGCCGGCGCCCTCCCGTTTCCTTCCTCCAGGGAGGGGGGAACATGTCCTTCGGGTCGCTTTCCAGGAAGCTGCAGGATGTGCCGTTCCGCTGTCAGTAGCAACAAGGTCAGCCCTCCCGGTCTGTTTTCTTTTTTTCCCCTCCCTCCGCCGCAGCTCTTGTCCTCAGGTGGGACCAGCGAGCCAGGTGAGGGCAGGGGGCTGAAGGGCCATTCCTCACTAGGGTCCCCAGCTCTCGGCCGCGGCGTGTGGACCGATCTGGGCGACGGTGGGGAGAGAAGGAGGGGGAATGGCAGAAGCTCCTTCAGAAGCCCCGGGCGCCCGGGACCCTCTTCTCCCGCGTCACAGCCCGATTTGGGGTAAGGGAGTTACATACACAGCCCCCACCGGGAGGGTCCGGGGCTTTACTGCGTGCAGTTATTCCTGAGGGAGCGGGTGGCTCGACGGTTCCACCCGAGCCTGTCGGGGTGTGCCGAGGGTGGGGCGGGAGAGGTTTCTCTTCCTCTCTAGGAATCTCCTGAAATATGTTTGGGTTGTCCTAGGGCTCGCCGACAGCCTCCAAGTGGAACACGTCGGTGAAAAAACAGCTCTTGCTTACTCAGCTGTGGCTTGTCAGGGCTGTTTCTCTCCGCTGCTAGTCGCTGTTAACCATTTCTTGTCTCCTTGACACCGCCCAGCAGGTGGATTGGAGTGGGTGGGGATCAGCAGAGAGGAATCGCCAATCTTCCGTGGCGGGGTCGTTCCCTGACCTTCTAAGGGCTAGTCTTAGCGGGAGGTGAGAGCTATTGACTACCACGGATGGGTGTTGGAACGACCTGTGGCGTTTTCTCGTGTTGTGATTGGTGGGACGTCTGGTAGTTTCTCCTTGATATTGTCTGATTTCTGCTGCAAGATGATGAGACAGTGGTTTCTCGATTCCAAATGTTAACGATCTGGTCGCAGTTTGCTCTCTGAATGTATTTGATCTAGCCTGTGCCGTGACCAGAAAAACAACAGCAACATGTGACTAGAGTTTTCTTGGCCTCCAGTTCCTGAAACGATTTCACGAGAGGCTTTGAAAAATTAAATAATGAATGTTTCACCTTTTCCTCATGATATGAGCAACAAGCCCATCCTAGGGAAGGAAAATTAGTATTCTCCTATAATGAGCTCACTCAGGGTGTCTAATATTAAAAACAATGTTTTGTTACTTGTGCTAAACCTTTACTGTATAATTGTATCTTAAGCAATTAACAGCCACAACGAGCAGGATATATGCATCTGACTAGAAAATAGAATTTTAGCGTAGTAGATTGGACCAAGGCAAACTCCATTTTAGCTTTATGATGTTCACTAAAAGGATCCTTACCTCATTTTATATTTGTTATTGACCCTAAATTGGAAGATACAAGTCTGTTGACAGCAGAGCCTTCGTACACCAAAAAACCCTGATGTTTTCTCTGTGAAAAACTTGTTTCCTGATTGTCAGACTCTTTGAAGCTAAAACAACAACGGAATTGTTACTCATCTAGAGAGGGAATAACCGTGGCCTGACCCAGTATTCCACTTCTGGGTATCTCCCATGAAAAATGAAAGCATGTTTACACAAAGACTTGTTTGTGAATGTTCTCAGCAGCATTATTCCTAGGAGCCAAAAAGTGGAAAAAACCCAAATACCCACCAATTGACCCATGAGTAAGTCACATGTGGTATATCTGTACAATAGAAAACTGTTAGTTAATAACAAGGAATGAACTTTGGATACATGTTGTAACATTGGGTGATCTTGAAAACATTACACTAAGTGAAAGGAGCTAATCACACCAAACTGCTCTGTGTGTACGAAAGGTTAGGGGGAGGCAAATCTCAAGCTGGCGCTAGTGGTGTCCTTAAGACAGCCTGGTTTGAGTCCTGGCTCAGCTTCTGATTGCAGCAGCATTCTGTTGTGCCTGCTGGGAAGGAGCAGGTGGGGGCTCAAGTGTGTGGCTCCCTGCCAACCAGCTGGAGATCTGGATTGAGTTCTAGGCTTCTGCTGCCACCTGGCCCTGGTCCCACTATAGGGGGCAGTTGGGAAATGACCTAACAATAGAAAGATCTCTGCCTTCCAAAACAAAATAAATATTTTTAAAAGGACATACAAGTCAGTAGAGACAAAGTGGATTAATGATGGCATAGAGCTGAAGCAGTTGAGGAAATGGGAATGATTGCTAATGAGGTTTCTTGCCAGAATGATCAAAGTATTCTAGAACTAGTGGTGATGGTTGTATTTTGCGAAATACATTAAAATTAAGAAAATAAGATACTGTAAAATGAGATTATAGTGACAGTGGCACAGTTCTATAAGAATCTCATTCAGTTGTAATTTAAAATGAGTGGGTTTTATGGTATTTAAACTATATCTCAATAAACCTATTAAATTTTTATTTAAAATGTTCATAGGGACATCTAAAAAAAGAAATAAATAACTGGTGGTTCTTTTTTTTTTAAATAAAGATTTATTTATTTTATTGGAAAGACAGAGTTATAGAGAGGAGAGAAAGAAAGATCTTTCATCCACTGGTTTCCTTTCCAAATGGCCGCAGTGGCCAAAGCTGAGCTGATCCAAAGCCAGGAGCTTATTCCAGGTCTCCCTGTCAGGTGCAGGGTCCCAAGGTATTGGGCCATCATTCGGTGCTTTCCCAAGCCACCCAAACAGGGAGGTAGATGGGAAGTGGAGCAGCCAGGACACAAATCAGCGCCTACTTGGGATCTTAGTGCTATCAGGGGAAGGATTAGCCAATTGAGCTATCACATTAGGCCTAATAACTGGTAATTCTTTATCAACCTTTTCTTAGTATGCACAAAAATATGTCTGGTAAATTGATAAAATAATCCTTGGATTTGAAGTGGTGACAGATACTCAGAATTTCAATATTATCAGATTTTAAAGGCTTAAAAGTTAGTATGACCAAAAAGAAAAGTTGAAATGCAGTGCTGCATTTTAAGTAGGATTAAATGTTTATGAAAACTGATAATCAGTGGAGTAACCAATATGACTATAGTTCTCTTCCTCCATTTTCCCTTAAAGATATATTTTAAAATACAAATTAACCCACTGATAATGTATAAGTAGTCTCCCAGTTTCAGAGGACAAGAACAATGTAGAGTTATCATCTTAAAAGTATCATGAAATTATTTCAAATGGATTTGTCTGTCAGACTTCAAAACAATATATTATCATAACATCCTTTCAGTGTACTTGTTTTGAATCATCTACCAAGAGGTTCCCAAGAGGAATTCCATGGAGAAAAAAATCAAATAGATCCTCTGAGAACTGTCAAGTACCAGATTTAGTGAGAAACTGTAGGCTGAGTCCTCACTGCCAGCTATAGAATGTTCTTTGGTAATTCCTTCAACAGATGTTTCCAGAGACCTAAGATATATGCGGGGACTCTAGTTGCAAAGTTACATGCAACTACCCTTGATGAATGTACACACTACCAAAAAAAATGCATTTAGGAAAGTAAAAGTATTTGCATATGAAATATTATGTAATGATATAGTAGCACATGAGCAAGTGTTGAATGAGTGGCCTAAGCATACAAAGTGATGTAGAAGTCCCCAGGAGACTGTTGTGGGCTGACAAGTTAAAGAGAACTTTGTAAAACAGGGAATTTAAGTTTTACCTTGGAGCAAAGAGAAGGCATTTGGGTGTGGATGAAGGAAAAGGCAGGAAGAGTAGTTTCACTTCTGTAGCTTGAGAATCGGATTCTCTGTTGTGTAAGTGGAAAACAGTCGATTGGTCAAGCAAAAAGTTGTTAAAACAGTTTGAACTTATTTGTGAAACAAATACTTATTGAATGTACATGACAGGCACAGAATTAGGCACTTAGAATGAAGTGATGAGCATAAGTAAGTTTTTGTTTTTGTTTTTGTTTTTTTACTTTTGTGGCGTTTATAAGCAGGAGATGCAATCATTCACATAGATTTGCAATTCTGGTACTTCACATAGATTTGCAAAAGGACAATATGTGCAAACACTGAGAGGGAAAGCCCCTGTGATGAGTAAGAAAAGCTGTAAGATGAGATCTCAGGGCAAGATCAGCCAAAAAGATCAATGAGTGACAGACTAGGAAGGTAAGAACTTCCAACGAAGGGACTTTATTCCTGTACCATGAGAGAAAGAAACGCCTCTACAGAGAGGTGTGTGTATCAGAAATACACCCCAATCTGTAGGAAATGGGGAGTTCACCTATACTGGTTCCTAAATCTGCTGTGCGTTAAAAAATTACCCAGGAGATTCTGATCTATGTGTTCTGTAATGATGCCTAATTTACCGTCTTTTTTTAAAGATTTATTTGTTTTTTTATTGCAAAGTTAGACATACAGAGAGGAACAGAGACAGAGAGGAAGATCTTCCTTCCGATGATTCACGCCCCAAGCGGCCGCAACAGCAGGAGCAGAACCAATCTGAGGCCAAGAGCCCGGAGCCAGGAGCCTCTTCAGGGTCTCCCATGTGGATGCAGGGTCCCAAGGCTTTGGGCTATCCTCAGCTGCTTTCCCAGGCCACAAGCAGGGAGCTGGATGGGAAGTGGGGCTGCCGGGATTAGAACTGATACCCATGTGGGATCCCAGTGCATTCAAGGTGAGGACTTTAGCCGCTAGGCTACTGTGCCTGGCTGTTTCTTTCTTTTTAAACAAGTGTCCTGAATCATTATTAGACTGAGGCTCAGGAATCTTTGCACAGGTCTTGCAGAAGTTGACAGCTTAAGCTCAAACATAGCTTTGAGTCTTAGCATAGTCACCCTGGAGCTCAGCAACTTTGGGCAGGTTACAAAATCTCTTTAAGCTGGTTTCCTCATCATTGGAGACAATTAGAGAACCTGCCTTACCAGGTTTCTAGGGGAATTAAATGAAGAAGGTCATTCAGATTGTTTAG